TTAGAAACTTTATATATTTTAATTGCAAATATTTTACCAATTGCTTCTTTAAAAACATTAGGGAACTTGCTATACTCTACCAATCAAGCCCAGTGACACTCCATTTATTTTCCATCACTCGAACACTGAAAAGTAAAAAGATATATGAAATCAGATCCATTAAATTCTAAGATTTGATTTACATTTCTAATTAAAATTGGTTTTGATCATACGTATAGATAATTATATAAAAATTCCAAAATTCTAAAATTTCAAATACATACAAAAACAATCATATGTAAATTTTAAATTTGTGAATATTAAAATTTTATATTTTAATTACATATACCCTGCGCAAGGCGCAGGTCTTATCCTAGTTATTAAATATTTCGAGTCTATGAACTATAATTTATTATAATTTACATAAATTGATTATATATTTATTTATAGATATTAGTAAAATTATTAAGCCCGCAAGTGCGGACAAAACACGTAGTAAAATAATAAATGGGATCTAGCCTCAGAATTATTATAAACGAAATCCAATACAGACATGCATAAAACATTCTTTAAGATATTGAATCCGTGTGTTTAGAAAAACAAAATGCTGAATCCGAAAATATAAAAACTCAGAAATCAGATTCATACCGGACGTATAATCCCAAGGCCAAATCTACTCTATTTTCTATTACTTCATATACTGTAATCAGGATTAAAATTTTTACGTATCGGTTCGGCTCGGGACGAGTATATTGAGTGTTGGATAGTTTAGATAAATGACTAGAAGATCCATATAAGAACTCGGATTAGTTCGGGTAGTTTCAAGTTCAGATAGTAAAATTAGAAACCGAAAAAACCTAGAAATATTGTTCTATATGATTTATTCAGATATTTTACACACTGAACTGGATATGAAATCAACGTTTTCAGTTCGAATATATCTCAGTATCAATTATAAATACCAAACGTAAAATAAAAGGATGTGTAGATGAAATTACAAAAGTTTATTGCTATTCTTGTCAAAATTATGAAGTTCAAGACTTCCAATAGATATACTCTCAAATATTTAGGTGCCACTTTGGTTTTGTAAGGAACAAGCATCAACTTATACCAGGGAGGTCACTGCACTAAATAGAAACATTAGTTACACTAAAACATGTCTTGATCCAAAGGTCTTTCTTAAAAAAGACGGAGAGACATTTTGAGTTTGTTCTGTTTCCATTTCGGAAGTGCATAGAACTTTGGTTTTGTCATTTCGAATCTTTCTTCAAACTCTTCCTCTGTTAAGTACGCCTGAAATAATTTAAAAATTGCATTGAAATTCAAGTGTTACTCATATAGTATAATACTAGATCTGGATTTACATAGGCGATTGCAAGATTACCTCTCTTCTTGTTGCGTCTATATTTGTCACTGGCTCCTGAGAATCAACTCTAAGCTGTTCGTATGAATATGCAAGTGACTCTAGACTGAGATCCACATTGATTCCTCCCAGTGGATTCTCTTTAGATATGTCTGAATTTGAGCTCGTCGATACTGCATCGAAAAGTAATGTTTTGATATGAGATTTAAAGCATTCAAGAGCTTAGTTGCAATTGCAACATGAAGGAATCCAATAGAATATTGAATTATCTTGTTGTTGCTGCGCTACATTCATCAAGAAGGTCAATGAAAAGGTTGACATATGGAAACCTTACCACTGTTGGTATCCACTGAAGGAGATTCTGAGAAAAGCTTCTTGACAACTGGAGTGGAAACAATGCTGCTTTCTCTGCCTTCTGAAGAGCTCACAATTTGAAAATTTTCGCTGGAGCAAGATGATACTCCTCGCTCTGACCCATTTGTCCTACCATTTGACCGACTTCGTGAACCACGTGATGCCTTCTCCTTTGAGTCTGATCTCCAGGGGCTTCCACTAGATCTCTGAAAGCACAAATGCTGTAGCGACTTAGAAACACGTTGATCGGTTCTTATATTTGAGGCTAGTATATGATCATAGGTAGGTATTAAAAGATCGGTCTCCTTTCACATTCCCATGTTTTTTGTTAGGTTCTTTCAACTGTGACTTACCTTATTGACTGGCTCCTTTCCTTTCAGGCTAGCAAGCTTCCTTTCAAATGAGTTACCATGCATCTGAAATGTCCCCATGCATATTATTAGTGGAAATTCAGTAGATTACTATCCAAACATTTTGGAATCTCCTAACGCTCCTTTACGAAGTGACTTAAAGATGGAAGGAGGTGCTTTACGTTTGCCTTTTCAGGAACCCAATCAAAGAAACGGGTGAAAAATGGTGGTTCGTGGCCTTCTGTGACAACATACACAGGAGTCCTCACGGTTAAACCTTCCTCCAGAATGTCCATTTCTACAAATTTCTGCAATATCACAAATAGAACAAGCTAAGAAACAGTGAAACAGGGAGACACATTAGAGAACATGAGTTTTTGATTAGTAAATCTTATATATGTTGATGGATTAGTGTAGTTATTAGTTTAAAGGTCATGCTTTTCACCGAAAAGAGTTGTACACATTAGAGAACATGAGTTTTTGATTCCTAAATCTTTTTTTTACTAATAAAATTTTCTTTTGGTTTTCCATTTTTTTCTTTGGACTAATATGTTTACTTTTTCTTTCAATTATTATATTTCCTATTATTTCATTATACATAGTAGCAAAACAGTAATTCTCTTATAAAAAAAATTAAGAAATATTATAAACTAAAATAGAGGTCCCCATTTTCTATTTTGTTTCAAGCCCCATAATTTCAGTGTTGGCCCTCCCTGTCCAAAGCATGTGATGTTCTGATTCCATACATACTAAAATATCAGCCTAACCCTGCTTTGATGTATGTGCTGAAGTTCCACTAAAAACAACAATAAACATAGCACGTGGAAGGCTAAGTGAAGAGGAAACTAACCAGACCAAGAGTAAGAGCTTGTTGCTTCGACTTTGTGTTTGAGTTTAATCCAATCCAAACATACACTTCAGTTTGGCAGTCCAGCAGTAACACGTCTTCAGTAGTTAAATCGTCTTGCACAAAATTGTATATCTCTTTCACCTATAAACATGCAGAGAATGTTATTCCGAGCTGATCTATAATCACTTCAGAGATAGCATTCACGTGAATCGTACCTTGAGTACATCTGAAGAGAAGAGCAAAACCAGTCATGGACCACTCTTAGGTTAGGCATATAATAAAAGTGGGTATGGCTGAACCATGGCAGAGATGTTTACCCTTTTACCTGAATTAAAGGAACATGTAAATAAATGTGGTTCTTCTATTTGTTTCCTCATTTCCTTTTCTTTTGGGTACTCTGCCTTCCCACCTAGCAAATCCCAAAATGTGTCTGCTTCATTTCCTTCCCTCGTTGATATGAGTTGCCTAGATGACTGCATGCAGATGGAAACCAAAACAGATTTGTTACTACTTACTAGCAATCTGAAAAAAAAACTCTAATAAGCTGAAACACATGTTACTTACATCAAGGATATATAGCATTCTGTCAAGAACATCATGATCAGAGTCTGAGGTACGGTTCCCAATCCAAGTGAAGACAGAATCTTCATTTTGTAAAATGTAACAGTAGGATGAGTTCAAGGAGGTTGCTGCCTGCAGTTGGACGATTTTTGTTTGCTTAACAAATAAGTCAAGGACCAAAGACATAACCACAAAATGTATTTTTGACAAAGCTGAGAGTACAAAAGAACCTACTAGATTAACTTGAATTGCTTGCATGCTCTTTCGGATTGTCCCTTGAACACGGAAAAGAGAAGCCTTGCTTTCATCTTTGTTAGCATTCTCCACTAGAAACATTTTGTACCGTTTACTCAAACCACCCTGGAAAAGTAACGATATGTAACATTAAGTATCAAAGTAGTATAGTCGCATACTAAACACACAAAATGTTCAAGAAAGTACCTTGAAAACAACTAGTGACTGGAACATTGAATAAAAGCGAGCAGGTTCGTTGCCTTGGTATACATGACACTGGATGAAGCATTCCCAGTAAAACATGTCAGCTTGTTTACAGTGTTGAACCAAAAAGATAGAAAATGAAACAGAGAAAAACTGTGAACTATTTTTGCAATATGGTTATTGGTTAGGAACTAACCATTACAGATTCACACTTGGTTGAAGAAACAATGGCACTAGCATTAGATATGGCATCAGTTCTATCTTCCTGAAATGATATGTCATAGAGGAATAACTCAGAAATGATTGACAGTAACATAATTGAAAACAAATACTGCATACCTCCATGCTTTCGCAACCTATCCATACATATAATAGATATTGGTTTCTTTCATTGTAAGTATATTTATACTGCACAATATAGCAATCGCCGCTAAACAGCTTTGTCTGGTCATCAATGGAGAGAAGCGAGACATCATCACCATCCACACGCCAAACCTGGAATCAGTTTAAAATCCACATTGATCAGGCCTTATGCTCAGAGACAGTTTGCTCGTCTCTTAGATATGAAGTATGTACCTTCAAGGCGTCTCGACTGTTTGTATAAAGAGGCTCATCTTCTTCATCAGAAAACTCCTCCACATCATATCCCTTCTGTTTAAACATTGCTGCATAACAGGTGTTTAGAGTTTAGGTAAGTTATCTGATACAAGGCTTTAGTCCTCATTTTACAGAAAATGAAACAGACCTGCCACTTTTTCTCGACCTTCATTGTAAAGGCTAGACTCTGCTGTCTGAGGCCACGTATCAAAAAACGATCTGAATCTAGCATTTTCTAGTCCTTCTGTTAGAAGTACTAGACTAGTGCTGGTCGAGCGTCCCTCATTTCGTAGAAACTCCTGGAGCATGAAAACATTCCATATCATACATTTTATACTCATGTCTCAATCATCTTATATTGTATTAAGAATGACTTACTTCTGAGGAAGAAATGGATGTCTTCTTTTCTGTGAGTGATGTGTTTCTTCCCATCCAAACGAATACTTCCCTCTCACAGTCCAGCATGTAGCATTTGTTCTTCTCAAGTATGTCTTTGCTCAAAGAACTTGTTTCAGTTGGATGAAGATTCCCCCTAGTATCTATCCTGTTTGTTCAAAAGATATATATAATTTGAGCAAGAAACAAAAAAATTGCGAGTGTGTAAAACCAAATCTTTACCATAACAATTTTGCACATGTAGTTGGAGTCTGTTCTTGTGAGGTAGAAGGTGAAAGCTTTGGAATGGGAGCATAACCACCAAAGAAAGTCCAGAACTCACCAGCATCTGAATCACCTAAAAACTTTCCATCCTCTACAAGAAAACAAAAATGATTAGCTGTTTGCTTTACTTTCACTCGTTTTATTGAGTTGCTTAAGAGGAGAAAGAACAAAAAAAAAAACTAACCGATAGTGGCGACCTGACATCTTCCTGCATGCTTGTTATCCTTTATGTATTCCACAACCTCTAGGGCTTTAGCTTTCTCCTGAGTGCTTGAGTTGCAACCGGCAAAGAGGAAGATTTTTGATGCAGTATCAAGAACAAAAACATCTTCATGGTTCAGTGACGACCGTAGAAAAGGCACCTCTTTAACTCGAACAGCATGGTCTCCTTTGCACATTAGCAAGGTGATATTGTATGTCTCGTCGGCCAAACCAATTTGTGGTGAATACTTCCCTTCAACAGGTATGATACAAGGTTTGAAGTAGGAGAGGAACTTCTCAGTCTCTTCACCTTGAACTTCACGGTATTGCACCGTACAACATCCAAGTGCTGCATCTAACTCTAGTGCTTTGTCAGATGCCAACACTGACTCCACCTTCAGATTAAAAAAAAAGGTAAATTATCTCAGTTGTCAAGAAGATGACATTTCAGAAAGAAGCCAAAAACAAAACCTCAGTTGCATCATTTCCTAGCCAGTAGTGAATGTCATAGTGGGGAGATCCTATCTTCCGCAAAGCCGTCTACACATCAACAGCAAACAGCAAATAAGAAGTAAGTATTTATTAGGCACATCACTTGAAATTTCAATTCTAAAAGTGAGAGGTGACGCTTACGCTGAGAAGAAGGTAAGCATTTCCAGAGTGGAATCTTCCGAAAGAAGACTTGGGGATCGATACAAGCTGATCATTATAGATGCACCAAACCTCCAAGCCACTAAAAAAATGGAATAAACATAAGTCGACATAAATAAACCAATGATCAAGAAATCCCCCTACTTAGACCCTTTCTATGGGGTTATTAATTAGCCGGATGCTTAAATCCATTTTTTTTTGAAGCACCTAGACCCATATTTAAAAAATTGTTCTGAAAAAAATCATTTCGTTTAGATCCGATTTGCTGATTAGGTGGACGCCTAGACCGATTTTTAGATCACTGAAACAAACTATCTTCTTCTCACTCATGGATCTCATAGAAACACAAGGCGTACCCTTTAGTTCCAACACCTTGGAACGCTGAATCAATGTCTTTGCTTAGCCTAGACATTTTGTTCTATCATCGTCCTACAAGCGCAAGTGTAAAAAGCTTAATCAATCTGCAAAAATCATAAACCAAAGAGAAGAATAAGAAGAAGAGAAACATCAAGTCACACAACAGAACAACAGTGTTGTTCTAACAACTGGCGTTACATTTACGTTTTCTTTTTCTTTTTCTTGTACCTGCATATGCACGCAACCTACTCTACCCAAACAATTTATCAATTTGTTTCCCAATTTCTAAAGAAAAAAACTCATATAACGCCGAAGAAGATGTCTTACAAGAGTGATGTGAATCGAAACGGAAATAGCAAAACATAAAAAACAGAAGTAGAACTTAAGAAGAACGTTAATTAATTACTAGCAAATAATAGAGACACTGGAGAAGGTTGTTTAGATTTTTGAATACTTACACTCTTACAGAGATGAGGGAAGACTGAAGAAGGAGAAGAAAACAAGAAGTTTTGAGAGAGGAAGCAGCGGCCAAACAAACTGATGAAGTAAATAATTGTAATTGCCTTTTTTTTATCCCTGCTGCATGCCACTTTGTGGGGGACCCACCACAAGGTTTCAATTCAAAGTAGACATAAAAACGCGCCTATTTGGTTGGATTTCTTTGTATTATTAGTTTAATTTTGCAACCCAGATTTTTATATATAGATACTGAAATTAAAGATAGTAATATATATTGACAAAAAGATATATATACTATTAAAGCTGATGACTATTTTGGTTTCTGCCCCTGAACTTTCTAGGAAATTACAAAACATTCCATTTCACTTCCTTTTTAAACGAAATCGTGGGCTGAAAATAACAAATAACTTCAAACAGCAAAGCCCAAACGAAATGGGCTTCGAACATCAATACTTAATTCATATTTACAATTCTGTTTTTAAAACAAAATGGCTTCAAACCCTATTTAGTAACCTTATTGATATTTACAATTCTATTTAGTAACCATATACCCTAAACTTTAATCAAACCCTAAACCCTATTTCGTTTCATATTTGCTTTGTACATCATCCTTCCCAGCATCATTGCATGATCCTGCCAAATACATAAGAACAACACCTTTACACATGAACCAAACAATATCAAATATCTATATTTATTTTCAAAATCATATATTTTTGGGATATTTATTCAAAACATATTACATCTACACATGAACCAAACAATATCAATAACCAAATTCGGTTTTCAACCTCATAAATTGTCGGGATATTTATTCTTAACTTATCATTGAATATTCTCTGTAATTGAATATTCTTTTTAATTGTTACCAACAATAAATTATGAAAATATATATGTGTAGAAATAAAAGTATAGAAACAGAAACCAAGAGGGTGTTATTGGTTTGTATATTTTAGTGGATTTGAAAATACAAATCAAATATAGTGTTATTGGTTCTATGATTTTAAAATCTATATTCAAATTCATTGTTATTGGTTCTATGATTTTAAAATCTATATTCAAATTCACTGTTATTGGTTCTATGATTTTAAAAAAGATTTTAAAATTAGGTGTTATTCAATAATAATGATTTGCTTAAGGATTTGATTTAAAATTAGATTTGAGTGGATTTATGAGTTAAAAATACAAAGAATCAAATATTGAGTTGAACCTTGTTATTTTGATAGATATGTATTATTGGTTTTCTTAATATTTTTTTCTGGTCCAATTTTTACGTACATATTGTCTATGTTTGCCTAATAACTATAAGAAAATACTGATATGAGAGTCTGAGACAACCATCATGTTTCACCATCTCTATGTTATTAACGAGTACGTAGTAGTACAACATATAATTGTATTAACCAACTATCTCTAGCCTAGCTTTACCAACATATAATTGTATTAACCAACATACGTCACAGCATCTTCCTTCTCCTGACACGGATCGGTTCTTGGAGTTTAGAACACGTTCTTTCTGATCGCAATGAAGCTGCAGTGTCTATTGCTGTAAGTGTTACTCGTGATTTGAGACATCAATCATACATCGCCCGTCTAGCTCCGGCATGGCTTCATCATCTACTTGCTTTGGAGGCTCAACTATAGAAGGTTTGGGTGAGTTTAGTTCCTCATTTTTGGTGTCTATTGACATCTCTTGTTTACTTTGTATTTTCCTTTTCTTTGTATTATCTCCTCTTTCTGGTTAAACTCTTATAAGTGTTATAAAAAAAAAACTTTACGTACACGCAGACGTTAATATAAAAATTTACCAAAAAAAATTTATCATAAAAGTTTTGGTCTACAAGAGTTTTCTGGAGATTCTATTCCATAAAATGAAAAGAGCTGTTTAACCATCATCATGTTTTTCTGAAGAATGTTATCGAAAGAATTTTTGGTATATACAAATCTCAATTTTTAATTTTTAAATGTGCATCCCCTTTTCCTTATAAGACACAAACGAATAGAATATTTGTGTGGGCTGGTTTACGTAGTTTTCTTCGAAAGTTCTAACGAACCGATAATTTTTCTGAATAAAAAAGTTCCGATAACGAAAAAGATTTTGAGGAAGTTAATAACAAGGGTAAAGAAATTCTTGGACCACAAAGAAAACATGTCAATCAAGTGAAAATGGTAATAACAACAAATATGTGATGAATTTTATGTTACCATAATAACATATGATATAGAAAATGATAAAACATACGTTGTAGTTTTATATATATTTTATTTTGTTACAGATTTAAGCTTATCACAAATCCATTTGACAGATTTATAAGAATTCAAATATTTTGATTTGAAATCTATTTCACTGATTCTAAAATCTACTTATTTGATTCTAAAATGTGTGGATTTGTCAAAAGCTTCAAAATCCAAGAAGGATTTCTGAATCTATAAAATACTAGAACCAATAACCCCCACCAAAAGATTTGCTAACTAATTAATTATATTTTCCAAATTTGCCAAATACCAATCCTAAAATATATTCTATACACAAAATAATCTATTATGTTCAAGTTTATTTATGGATTTCCCAAATACTAATCCTAATCAATATTCGATACTAAAAAGAATATCCCCAAACTTTCTCCCCAAGTTTCTACTAAAACCTAACCACGTCGCTTAAATATGCTTTATATATAAATAGACAACACCCTATTCATGTTCCAACCCACACATTCGAACATAGGTCTACTGTAATTTACAAACCTACAAAAGCCAATTTTCAGATCCAGCAGAAACGCAAGAAATGGTCTCAATTTCCATTCAAAACCATTCAGCAAATTAAACGAACAGATAAGGTTTGGTTCTCTTTGCTATTTGTTATTTGTAATACACAATATTAATACAATTTTCGTTTTTGTAGAGTGGATATTCCAGAGTTATTTGTACTGTTTATGCAATTAGTACTGATTGTCCATGGTATTATTGTGCTTGTGTGGTATGCAACCATGAGGTTACGAAAATGACTATTTCATTTAATGATCTGGACGTACCAAATTGGTGGTGTGAGGGTTGCAGTTGTATTGTTACCAAAGTTACACCAAGGTAATTAGATTATTCCAAAATCTGATCGTACTATATACTTATTTATTACTTATTTTATATTGTGTAATGCTAAAACAATGTTAGTGATTATTGTTTTCAGGTACAAGTTGAAATTGTTTGTGCAAGATCTAACAGGTGAGTCAAACTTAATGCTTCTAGACGCAGCCGCAAATACTATTATCAATGCTTCTGCAGCAAAACTCTTAAATGGTTCTTATAATAAGGTTATCAACTACTTAATACTGTTTTTATAAGAACATTTTATATCATCTGAGATTCTTACTACATTCAATCTTACTATATTTAACAGATCGAAAATCCTGAATTACCAAGTGAGATTGTGGAGATCGTAGGAAAGACTTACAGCTTTGGGATATGCGGAGATGATGAAAACAATGTTTGTGGAGCAGAAACGTTTGAAGCCTTGAAAGTTTGGAATCTTGATAACATTCTAAGGAAGAGAATCAAGTCATTGCACTAGTTATCTACGAAGAAACAATGCAGTGTCAGAGGAATTGAAAAAAAATGTCTAATTATGAAGCCAAAGACAAGAAGAGCGGCTAATTCTATCCCGAAGACAAGATCATCATCAGTTTTTTTTAATGTTTTACTTATGCTATGGTTTTACGAATTGAATAATGCTGTTTATGCTTTCTTTCTACTTTGGTTTTTTTGTGGCTTTTATGAACGCATAAATAAAGTTTTCGATCGAAGTACCAATACTAAAATCAAACTCCGGTTTCTACCAATAAAGCTGAAATCTGGTCAATTGTAACGAACATAGTATAATATATATCAGGAGATGACTCAAACAACTATCAATATTGAAGATTATTGTCGGCAGAATTTGTGTCTTTTGACTTTATCAGAATCCGATTTTTTTAAAAATTAATATTGACGGGTCAGTTTTTTTAGTCAATATACTTTTGGGCCCGTTTATAGTATCTCGCAGGCCCAACTATTTTTGCACCAAATCGATAGAATTGCCATATATATGAACCAATTTTAATATATACTAAACCAATGTACCTAAAAACCCTAATAACTCGACGTGAAGAATTATTTAAGCCGCTTTAACAGAAAGTTCTTCTTTACAAAAACTTTTCACAGAGACAAAACCGGGAAATATGGCCAACGAAGTTCCTTTGAATTCATTGCAATACCAATGTCCAACTCAAGAAAAGGTATAATAATTTTATTATTGTTTGGCCCGCAGACTTTAATTACATCTTTAAAATATTATTGTGTTTGAAAATATGTTTCAGGGATCAACAGTCAAACATTTTGTCCATCTTGATGATCAAGATAAATCCAAATTTTTGGTATGGATGGAAAATAACAAATTACGTGTTGATGTAGAAGATTTTGGGAATTCAGATTGCAGTGCCAAAGCAAATTTTGTTTGGAATCCAATTTCTAAAACGTGGGAATCAGAATTTGAGATTGTTCGGATCACACGGACAACTATATGTGGCTGTCTCCACTCTCCAGAGTGACTTCTAAGAAAGGTTTGAAGATTTTAATTGTTGACAGCGAAGGCAAGCCTCAACGCAAAACAAAGAACGTGGTCTTTAGAGAGGTTTTCGAAACTCTATGATTTGAAGTTTTTATTAAGTTATTTAGAACTATAAAATCTAGATTTTTGGTTATTTATTTTGACTCGCGTATTGGTTCTATATTACTAAGTTTATCTTAAATTGTTTTTGAACTTTTGGAAAAGTTCGATACTTAAAAGGATTCTAAATTTTTGATTCATGATAAGGAAAACACAGAATTGATGAGGCTCGAAAGCCTCAGTACCATGCAATGAATGTTTCTAACAAAATAACACATTAAATGCCAGAAAGTTAGATGCCAACTTCATCTCTATAAATCTTTAACATACACTGCACTCAACTGTAGGAAAGAGCTACACTGCAATCAGGATTCATCAAACAAACTTCCGGATTATTTTCCTAACTACCAGTTTAAGTTCGAACCCTAAT